GGGGCGGGGTTGATGGGCTATTTTGATGTTGCCGACGCACCAAGGATAATGTTATTTTTTGTGAGGCAATCTTAACAAGATGAACCATTGGCATTCTGCCAATCTCCACCGATCGATAAGCCGACCAAATTCTGCCACTCGGTATGGGCCATGCCCTTCCAGCTTCTTGCGCGTGATTTAAGCAACAACGAATTCTTGCAGTGCACAAAATGGCGCTTAGGGGCGTGGTTTCTACCGTGGGGGTTTTATATCAAAGAGGTACGGTTCTTTGCAAAAAATCTCCAGGCCCTGTAGGCATTCAGGGGCGTGGCTTCCCTGTGTGACCCTTTCGCTACCTGGGTCGGATTTCACTAAACCACTCGTTGAGACGCCGTAACGTAGCTCCCTAACTCAGGTAGTGAAACTCAGCAATAAAGCTCCAATCAATAAGTGTCGATTATCGATCGATCATTCGCAAGGGCTGTTACGGTGCTTCGATCGTTCAATCTTTGTTCAGTAAGACAGGCGTCGACCGCGCGAAGACAGATGTTGGGCCATACGGTACGGTTGTCAGAAGTTGATTGATCTGAAACTATTCCGTCCCGGACAATATTTTCCCAAAACATTGTCAATTATTGATCGAGACTATCCAGAAATCGTTCGATTATCGATTGATTCGTTATTTTCGAGTGACCCCCGCCGCTCGCTGTTGCGCATCGGCAAATTCGCTTGACCCTGACGCTGCTGATGCAAACAAATGCCTACACATAACATCAATCAGCGCTACCTGCACACGCCTATTCGTTGACAGCTTCTCATTGAATAGTTATTGATTTTCTTATTGATTTTTGGGAATATTTTCTGCCATTTCTACATCTTTGATCCGAAGGGTTAGCGATTGATAAGTTTCTGGCTTCCCGGAGCTTCTTTACCCCACTTTAGGTCTGGTAACCCAAATCTAATCAATATTCCATTCGTATAATGTATGCTATTGTTTTCCTGGTATCTGTTACAGCATTTTCACACCTCCCGGAGTGCCTCAGATTCCTTGGCTGTAGAAACAATTTTGTTCGATTTACTTACTCTATTTTTTCCATTTGGTAATCTCAAAAGATGCATGAGTTTTAGTGATAATAAAATATGGATCCAGGCCTGGGCCCCGGGATCAATTCCTGGGTCGTGAGTCGCCCGGGCCAACCCCAAGCCTTCCATCCCTCCGGGGTCGGTTAATTGGTACCAGACTTGTCTGGGAGGATAAACACTGACTTGAACATCGGCTGGCCCCCGCAAGTCATTGTATAGGCCACATCGCATTCAAATGCCACTGCGAATGTACAAATGGAAGTAGAATGCGTGCCGCATCCCAAAACGGGATTGATCAACGGCAAATGCTTTATCCTTTTATCCTTTTAAAATTCGAATAGCATGCTTTCTCTAATCTTTTTATCCTGGGCCCCAACTGAGCCAGTCCATTGAAAACTACTCATTGAAATTACTTTCGGCTTGTAAGGCCTTAGGCCCCTCTTTTAGGCTCTGCAGAGTGGCGTAATGGGTCCAGCTAGGCCGAGAGGTGGATGTGTTCCCGAACCTGGTAAATTTACTATTCTTGCCCGGAGTGCTACGTTTCTGAAACTTAGCGTGTGATTCTTACCTGAATATTTCTTCCTGAGATAGCTGACCATGGTCCGCGAGCTCACGGATTACGGTAGATGTTTACCGGAAGTGGAAAATTCCCTGCTAAATCCTGAACCTATGAGCTTATCAAGCAATGTGCAGAGGAGTTGCGACCGCTTTTTCGCGCCTTGTGCTTTGGGAACGCGCTATCAGATAAAGATATGTAAGGTTTGGTGTGGCAGCTTCGTCTCAAACGCCGCTGGAAAGATTTATTTATGTTGAAGAAAATCGGCGGCTTAACTTTGAGCGGGGTTAGGACAACTCCAGGGACTTTGGGCACAAGGCATTATTCCCCGAAGGTTCCTGGCTCTCTGTGGTTAGGCCTCAAATCCTAGAGAATGCCCCTCTAATCTGGTGACAAGAATAGCGCCAGAATTAAAATTTGGTGAGTAAGCAGCACAGCTGCAGCTCATTTTTATTCAAAATTGGGAACATATCTAAAGGAAACTTCCATGTATTCAAAAAGTGATTGAAAATTCCCAAAATTTTCCTAATCATTTGATGTTTCTCAATATTTTTCAGTGATTCTCTTGTCTGACTAGAAAAATCGGAACTGTCCAGCTACTGTGCCAAAATGTCAGAGTTTTGGCTTGAATTCGGTCTATTGAGCTTAGTCAGCGCCCTGATTACGAATTCAACATTCTTTTTTCTGGCGCCGGAGCTATATGGGGCCGTACGGGGCCAATCACGCCCAAATTCCGGGAATTCTTCAAGGTTGGCCGGTACAAAACCATTTTTCCTTTTTTTAACAACTGAACAACTTTTTCCGCAATTCTTGAACGTTTTTGTCGTCGATCGATACTAATTAGGTTAATCGATAATTGGTTCCGTACCATAATTGCCGAGCTGTTTCGTGCTCGATTTTGTCAACACTGTCCGAGCGGTTTTTTGCTGGCCGCCTCTCTTTCTGAACCAAGTCACAGGCGAAGCGTTCCAGAACACTCGCTGACTCCTCAGTCGCCTTTCTATCGAATATTGATTTACTTATATTGATTTGGTTATTGATTTGTGAACTGTCAGAAGGCTTGTTCGTTGTTTTCCTTCAGTCATCAGGCTTACTTTGCTCCGTCACTTCTTTCCGAACTCATGTCTGGCTATCATATACATGTAAAATCAACAACGATTAGCATTGATCCATCCACCTTGGCCATCGACCAAGCAATCGATTGATTGGGCGAATCGATAACGTGGAGACCCGTCAAAATTTGGGCGCTGACGGCTAACCTCTTCGCGCTCCTCAGCAGCCACGACCGGCTACTTTCATTGCGTTCGGTTGCAGCTGACCGCAACGACCCTTCGCCGGGTCACCTGTGCCCTCCCCCTCTCGCTGGGTGATCAGGGTTTTTTCGAGGGCCATTTTTGTCCACTATTTTGAGAATTTGAGTGGTCTAGCGATATTTATTAGTGTGTGTTTCTTCCTTACAGGCATAATCTTTCTGTTTTTAATTTTAGTTTTTTGTTCTCCTTTTTTTTCTTTTTCTTCTCCTTTTCGGGAAAAAATTCCCGTTTCAAATAGTTTCCTGTGCTGGCTTCGACCGAAAGCGGTTTTTCTTCAGGTGAGAGCTATTTTTGGAAATTGATTTTTTATAAAAACTAAATAATTTAAGTATCTAAAAGACGTTACCCTTTCTACGCTGCTCTTTCGATAAAACTCAAGGGTTTTCACTTATGGCTAATTTATCAGACGAATGAACTGTCAATTTGTGGCATGAATTTTCTGCTAAAAATTTCCCGTTTCAACCATGGATTTCCACTGGTGTAGTTTGATGAGTGACAGTTCAACTTCCGAACTTCTTTCTCATGGCCAACCTTATTTTCTGACTAGAATAGATGCATTTGGAAAATGTCCCAAGGCGGTGTGAAAGATCCACGAAATTTTTATTCAATAAGTCACCCAGGCTGTTCACAATCACTTCAAATGTGTGAGGGGCCTAAGGTGGGGCCTAATTACTCGTGACAAAGACCTTGAGGAAGTAATTGGAATCGCATCCGATGAGTGCGAGCAACGATTCGTTCGCTTTGACTTTGTGGAGCATCTGTTATATTCTTCCGTATGTGCCGTCAAGGTCGCGTCGGTTTCCCAGTGTGCAAAGAAGAAAATCGCCGTCTCGAATGACCCCAACCGACCGCTCTTGTGCTATGTGTGGTCGATTCAGGGTCAACGCCAACAAATTGCCGATCTTCTAGTCGGGAACTCCACTGACTGGCACTGAGCCGTGATTTACGTCTTTTTCTGACGATCTGAGATGGATCCGTCTCGGTCGGAGCCCTTTGATGATACCCCTCGCTTTGACTCTCCCGAAACTGCTTGCCTTAGGGTTAGGTAAGCGGCTATAGGCGTCATCAGCTCAAACGCATGTCGAGGATCGAATCCTATGGGTAGGTAGTAACCCTACCTCCATCTTCCCAAACTCGATTCATTGGAGCCATATTCGTTTGGAAGCTGAAGAGGTGATCGAACATGATGTTGGACCGCAAGTTATCATCTTGGTCAAATAGTATTGAAGTATTCTAAGGATTCTCAAGGGGCAAAAGTGCGTGGCGTAAATCTCAAGAGCGATGGCGTGCAGTTTTGATACATTTTTTGTGCTCTCTACCGGAAATGGTACTGGCTGGAGATGCTTTCGCCGTTTCTTTTTCTGGAACCAGTGGGCATCTTTTTCGATAGACCGGAGGGGATGGTTTAGGGATTCTTATTTGTCTGAGTTAGGGGGTGAAGTTACCCTGGTGAGTAAGTCTAAAGATCAAAGTAAAATAAAGGTAACTTTCGGATGAAAATTGAATCGCTGAGAATCTTTGTGATTCTGTTTTTTTTTTCAGACAGGGCTGCCCAAGAAAGGGCATACTTATTCGTAGGTCAGGTGGATTAGCAAAAGGGCAAGCATGGGCGCTGAACAATCCTCCGTTGTGTACGCCGACATTCCTACTTTCAATCCAGAATCGTAGGTGTGTTTGAATGGGGTTTGACCTCTACCTTGAATCGCGAAGGTCGATGTGTTAGTTTTCGGTGCTTCCAGACAAGCATGGTACCAACTGACGACTCCGGGAGGACGGATTGCTCAGGTTGGCCTAGACGGCATGCGATTTGAGACTTGATCCGGAACCGTGAGCGTGGTGAACGGCGTTATTTGCCACTACACCATTTCCGCCATTTTTCGTTCACAACACATTCCATACTTCAGATTTTTTGCTTTGCTGCTACGCCATCTCTCGTATTTTTCGTATTTTTGCAGACTTTGTGAAGGAACAGTATGTTTGGGGGAGACGTATTGAGCGTTGGTTTAACGCTCTCTCGGCATTATTGATCTATCTTTTTCGATAAATTGGCGGTAATAATGGTCTGTAAGATGGTCAACTGGCTAAGAAAATTCCTCTTGTGGAAAGGCATTTTGAAGTCGAATCAGGTCAGGGCGATAGCGATTAAAAATTGAATCGTAAGAGATCGTTGATCTTTTTCGAAGAGGGTGCCCAGAAAGGGCATATGGATTTGTGGAGTCAAGTGGAAGGTAGCAAAAAGGAGTAAGCAAAGGCGCGACCAGTTCTCGGTGAGATCGCCGTACAGTCTGTTTCATCAGAATGGAGTAGTTTTTGAATGGGGTTTGACCTCTACCTTGAATCGCGAAGGTCGATGTGTTAGTTTTCGGTGCTTCCAGACAAGCATGGTACCAACTGACGACTCCGGGAGGACGGATTGCCAGGTTGGCCTAGACGGCATGCGATTTGAGACTTGATCCCGGAACCGTGAGCGTGGTAAACGGCGTTATTTGCCACTACACCATTTCTGCCATTTTTCGTTCACAACTCTTTCCATACTTCAGATTTCTTATTTACTGACACGCCATCTTTCGTATTTTTGCAGACATCGTGAAGACGAAGGCATGCTTTTTGATGGGGTATGAGGGCTAGTGAGCTGGTTCACCCTTTCTCAGCTCCTGTTCAATCTTGGCCTCAGCTTGCGATAGTTGGCAGTAATAATGGTCTGTAAGATGGTCAACTGGCTACGAAAATTTCTCCGTGTGGACAAGCATTTTGAAGTCGAATCAGGTCAGGGCGATAGTTGAACTCGCTCAAGCGAGGACAACGCGTTTCACGATCGCCTCGTCCAGGAAGGCGTGCTTGTGGACTCGCGGCGAAAGCGACGGCGCAGTTATGCATAGGATCATTTTACGGTCGCTTTCGGTTTCTGTGCGCGTTGTTGTCCGGTATTGGCCATTGGTGGATCTTATGGTTAGAAGGCCAGAGCTTTGCTCGTTTAGGTTTCGAAGCAAGATCGCACTGCAAAGGTCCAAAGAAACCCCTCCCTCAGTGTACCATTCGATTTTTTCGTCCTTGTTACGGATAGCATTCCTGTTAGTCTCTTTCTGTTCGTTGCATTCTAACAACATCAAGTTTGATTCACGTGCGACAACTCGTCCAATGGACGAGATGTATGGCGGATTCAACGCGCCAAGACAATGTCTAGCAGAGCTGAACTTGCTCCAATAAGTGCTGTTTGATGATGGAAATTGTCACGAAATCCTGAGGGAGATACTAGGATGAGAGGGGGTCAAATTTTCTTTGGAATTATTGCACCGTTTCTCCACCCCATATGTTTGCATTTTCCTATCTGAGCGCCGTAATTCAGGGTAACTCACCTTTCTTCACTCTTCGGGCCATTTCAAGCTTTTTTTGAGTGTGCGAGTTTCGTGTCCTGTCAGACCGGCTGTGCTCATTTCGTTCCGTTTTCCGATTCCGATGTCCGCCGAACTTTCCGATATCCGATTCCTTTGGGTTTTACCTTATCATTTGCATTTGCTCGTGCTCGTATTTTGTTTTTTATTCCTTTGTTTGTTATTAGCCCACCTTGAAAACACACTTTTTTCTGTTCCTGGTTTTTTGGGCGTCCCGATCACGAAGTTGGAGCCTTCGAAATTTCAGCTAATTTTATTCCGCTTTCTGAATCCGATGTCTGTCGAATTTTCCGACATACGGTTCCTTTGAGTTCTCTCACATTATTTGTATTTTCTCGCTCTCGTACTCGGTTTGTTGGTTATTTTTGTCCACCTGAAAAACCACTTTTTCACTCTTCGGGCTATTTTGGGCATGCTGATAGCAAATTTCGAACGTATTCGACCATGGGCTCATTTCGTTCCGATTTCCGATTCCGATATTCACTGGATTTTCCGATTTATGGCACCTTTGAGTTCATCACACCATATGTATTTGCTCGTGCTCGCCCAGTGCTGACCATCAAGTGGTCCCCTCCCACTGTTTTACCTCTTGTTCCGCGCTGAGCTCGTCCGTCGACAGTCTCGTCGTCTCGATTCACCACTCGTCGCCTTCGCAGCGCTTATGTCCCGAGCGATCAATGTTCTCAAAAAAGCGTAAAACCGATTTGCACCGTTCGTCTGTGTGTGTACAAACACCGCGTCTGAACGCATCACACGTTCCACTGCGCCCAAACCAAATCTATAATTTGGGGGAGTACTGTAGCTTAGGAGAATTGGGGTTTGCTGGATTGGATATCATGGTTTGGGAGAGAAGGTGCGAATAGTTCCACCGCGAGCGTACTCACCTACTTATCGCCTCGTCCTACACGCCTCAAATCTGGCGGTTAGGGGCGAGCAAATTCGGAATCCATTCTTTTCAAGAGGCAAGCTAATGGCACTAGCTGGTAGATATTCTTAGTTAATCTTTTTTTTTGCCGTCTGGGTCTGAAGTGCCAATCGACCGAGAAGACCTTGCGATGCAACACAAAGGAGCATTAAGTACATCAAGTGCTGATTCTGAAGCGATGCGCCATGTTCATGGCGCATCCTTCGAGATCAATTCAAGTAGCCCTTTAGCCTTCAACCTACTGTGGTCATGTACCTCCTAGAACACAGGTTGTTTTGTTTCTGCTATATTCTCAGTATAGTTGGCAAAATGATGTCTACCCAGTTGTAAGGCCTCTCGTATACTGTTATATCGTCCTAAAGCCGATCGACCGCTTGTTTAAGCGAAACGCGACCCGCGAAAGCGTCCTTTCGTTATTTTCAAAAACCAAAACTTTGAGCAGCTGCTTCAAAACACCGGTTTCAACGAGGGGCTTGGTGCGGGTAATTGCTAGCAGTTCCCCACAGTTCGTTGTGTTTTGTTAAGAGATTGATTACCTACTGGTTTTTATCACTGTGCGTAATTGCTTCGCAGGAAAAGGTTGACTAGTCAAATTGGGCACCTTATTAAGAACAGGTCCGTCGGCTGGAGTGACATTTACCTGGTTCAGTAACAAGCCAAGCAATGACCTGTGGTAGCGAAGATCGCAAGGGATAGGGTTTAAAGGACAAATTAGAAGATTTCTGAAAACCCGAGTAACATAATATAGCCCATAACCTACGCTAGAACAGCAATTGGCACAATATCTCGCAGTGCTTAATTCTTCTGAACTTGGCCTCCTAAGCGAAACGATGTACCTGGATTTCCTCCATTTTCAGTTCTTCTGTAACCAACCCAACAATGGACGAGTTGCCGCGACGACCGCATTACTCGTCCAATGCTTTTGCACATTTCTGCTCTTCTCTGTGCTGACTGAAATAATTATTTACTTGGAATATGAAGGGTTATAGTTTCCAATGCGCCATGTCATAGATTCCGTGGGTCATCGTTAGGCCGATGTCAGACTTTGCGAATCGCGCGATTCGCTAGCGTCTGCGGTCGCGTCGCGGCCAGTGAATCACTCAATTGGCTGGTACCGCAACGCGAGCGAATCGCGCGATTCGCAAAGTCTGACATCGGCCTTAGGGCTTTGAATGATTGTTAGCTCTTCAAAAGTGACCACACGTCCGATAATGTCTTTTTCAATGGTTTCGTTCTTTTGTCGGGTCCACTGCCAGTTAAGCAATACCACGGGATTCAAGCTTGATTGGCAAAGGCGTGATTGGATCTTGAAATCGTTCATGGTGACGGCAGCGCCTCTAACCACTACACCCAGTGCGAAGTAATGCCTGTAATTTCAAGGCCGTGAAAATATATGAAGGAAAAGGAAATCTTTCAAGCATCCCTTTCATTCATCCGTTCA